GACCACCCAGTGCCCCCCCTTGTCCAATGTCCCCTCCAGGACCCCTCTGTGCCCCCCCAGTCCTGAGACCCCCCGACCCCCCTGACCCCCCGGGCCCCCTGTCCTGTCCTCCCCACTTCCAGGGTCCCTTGTCCCCCCCAACTCCCTGTGCCCCCAGTTCCCCCGCTGTCCCCCCGTGTCCTTATCCCAGTCCCAGGACCCCCAGTTTCCCCAGCGCCACTCCCAGGACCCCCGTGTCCCGTTATCCCCCAGTTCCCGGTCCCCTCCCATTCCCGGTTTTTCCCCTCCGTGTCCCCCCTTTCCCAGCCCTGAGACCCCCCCGTTTCTCCCCAATTCCCGGTGTCCCCCCATTCCCGTGCCCCCTCCCCTCCATTCCCGTTTTCCCCCATATTCCCTGTCTCTCTCTCCCTCCCAATTCCCAGCTTCCCCCATTCCCGGTGTCTCCCCCGCCCTCACCGCTCCCTCAGCGCATCCCGGGGGTCCTGGGGTCTCCCGGATCCCGATATTCCCGGAATTCCCGCAGAAGGTCCCGCAGAAGTTCCTGATCCTTCTTTTCGTGCTCCGCAAACTTTTTCCCCTTTGTCTCTGCCCCGCCCCCCCTGGAGCTCCCCAAAATCCCCTCCCGGGACCGGGACGGCCCCCGCGCCCCCCTCCGGGCACGGCGGGAGCGGGATTTGGGATCGGGAATGGGATCGGGAACGGGGGCGGGAATGGGATGGCACCGGCAGAGGAAACGGGACGGCCCCCGCGCCCCCCTCCGGGCACGAAGGGAGCGGGATTTGGGATCGGGAATGGGATTTGGGATCGGGAATGGGATTTGGGATCGGGAATGGGATTTGGGAGCGGGAATGGGATTTGGGATCGGGAATGGGATCAGCAGTGGGAGTCAGACCTGGAATGGGAACGGGAGTGGGAGCAGGAACGGGATCGGGAGTGGGAATGGGACGGGGATCAGGATCGGGAGCAAGACCGGGAATGGGACAGGAACAGGGCTAGGATTGGGATCAGAATTGGGCTCGGGAATGGGATGAGGACTGGGGACGGGGTCAGGCCCATATAGGGAGCTGTAGGGGACCCCATTCTCCAGTCCCCTGTAGAGATCCCATTTGTAGGGCTCTATAAGGCCCCCCACTTTATGGAGCACCCCCCAATCCACAGGGACCCCCCATTTTTGGGGTCTGTAGGGCTCCTCCAATCCATAGAACCCCCCCAATCCACAGGGACCCCCCATCTTTGGGGTCTAGGGGGGATCCCCCCAACCCCTGCAGGTCCCGTACACGTGACCGAGCCGAAGCCCCGCCCCTGTCCCGCCCCTGAGATCACGTGACGCCTCGTGACCCCGCCCCCCGAGGCTCGGCACGTGTTTGGCGCCATTTCCCGTGTGGCGCGAAGCGAGGCCGGGCCTGAGGGGAGGTCACGTGACCCCGCTTTCTGGGCTTGTTTTAAGGAGGTTTGGGGGATTTTGGGGCGGTTCGAGCTCCCTAAAAGTGAGGAGGGGGTTGCAAAATCCCCCCTAAGGGTGATCTGGGGGGGAGTTGAGGGAGTTTGGGGGGGTCTGAGAGGCCCCAATGGGCTTCACCCCCGCGGGGGGGTTGGGAGGTTTTTGGGGGTATTTAGAGGGGGATTTGTGGGAGTTGATCCCCCTGAATTTGAGGAGGGGGTTTCAAAATCCCTCTGAGGGTGATTTGGGGGGGAGTGAGGGGGTTCGTGGGGTGTCTGAGAGTCCCCAATAGCCTTCACCCCCAGGGGGGTTTGGGGAGGTTTTTTGGGGTATATTGAGGGTTTTTTGGGGGGTTGACCCCTCAAAATTTGAGGGGAGGGCAGGGGAGCTTTTAAACCCCCTCTGAGGGGGAAATTGGGGGGTTGAGGGTCTAAGCCCCCAGTTGTCTCCTGGTGGAGTGTTGGGGGTCCCAATCCCCCCCTTATCCCAGGGAGGCAAATTTAGGAGTCCCCTCCCCAATTTTTCCAGGGGGAAATTTGGGGGGTGTCTCAACATTCCCCCCCCTTTTTCCTCAGAGGGGCAAATTTAGGGGGTCCCACCTCTCCCCCGGGACCCCCCAAACCTCACCCTCTTTCCCCCCTCATTTTTCCACCCCCCAGCCCCAGCCATGGCCCCCCAGCGCTCCCCCCGGACCCGAAGCTCCGGAACCTCCGGAGCCTCCGGAGCCTCCAGATCCTCCTCCGTCCCCACTGCAGGATCGGGGGCCCAGAGCAGCCCCCCCACGTCCCCCCACACCCCGTGAGTGGTGCTGGGGGCCCCAAAATTCCCCAAACCCCCCCCGGGACCCCCTTTCTTTATCAACCTTCCTTCCCACAGGGAATTCTCGTCGGATCCCGACTCCGGCAGCGACTTTGAGAGCACTCTGCCCGCCCGGAAGAGACGTGGACGCCCCCAGAGGTCCAACCAAGGGCCGGTAATTCCCTTTTTCCCCCCCTTTAAATCCTGACTTTTTCGGGAGTTACGACCCCCTTCCCCCAATTTCTCCCGGTTTTCCGGCAGATCCCGAAGCGCTCCCGGCGTTCCAATGGGAACGAGAAGAACCCGGAGGAGAATTCCCTTTTCCAGGCGGTTTTGTCGGGGAAAGCAGCGGTGGAGGTGCTTTGAAATAAAGGAGGGGGTTTGTCCCCCAAAATGAAGGGGGGAGGTGGTCCCTAAAATTAGGAGGGGGGTCCCAACGCTCCCGAATCGCCGGCAGACCTTGGTGGACGAGTGGCTGGAATTGTACAAGCGGGACCGGGAGTCAGGATTGTTGGAGCTGCTCAACTTCATCGTCAGGGCCTGCGGATGCAGAGGTGGGGTGGGGGGGGAGACCCCTAAAATGGGCGGGATGGAGGGAAAAGGGTGGGATTCTGGAGTTGGGAGGAGGGAAAATGGGAGGGAAATGGGGGAAAACGGGATGGGGAGGGCAGAAATGGGATGGGGGAAGAGAGGATTTGGGGTGTGAGATGAGGGGAAAGAGGGTTGGGATGGAGGGAAATTGAAGATTCTGAGGTTGGGATGAGGGAAAAGGAAAAAAAGCTAGGCTGGGATGAGGGAAAATGGGGGATTCTGGAGCTGGGGAAAATGGGATTTGGGAAAAGGGGGGGAAAATGGGGTGGAATGGGGGAAAATGTGAGAGTTTGGGAGTGGGGTGAGGGAAAAGAGGATTGGGATGATGGAAAAGGATTGTGAGGTTGGGATGGGGGAAAATGGGAGGGAAACGGGGAAAAAGGGGAGAAAAGAAGGATGGAATTGGAGGAAGTGGAGAATTCTGGGTTTGGGATGGAGGGAAAACAGCTGGAAAACCTGGATTGGGACCCCCCCCCCAGGTGTGGTGACCCCCGAGATGTTCCGGGAGCTGCAGAATTCCCAGATCATCCAACAGCTCACGGAGAAGTTCAAGGAGGTGCCTCGGGGGGGATCCCAAAGGCTGGGAGTGGGGGGTTTAAGGGGTTTTTAGTGGATTTGAGGGGGTTTTGACTCATCCAGTCCCCTCCAGGATTCCCCGGAGCTGCCAACGTGGAGTGGGATTTTGAGAGGATTTTGAGGGGAATGTGGGTGGTTTTGAAGGGATTTTTACTCCATTTTTTCCCAGGATTCCCCAGAGTACCCGCTGTCCCTGAGCTGCCAATGGGGAATGGGATTTTGAGGGGATTTTGGGGGATTTTGAAGGGATTCTGACTGCAGTTTTTTCCAGGACTCCCCGGAGTACCCGCTGTCCCTGAGCTGCCAACTGGGAATGGGATTTTGGGGGATTTTGAGGGGATTTTGGGGAATTTTTAGGGGATTTTGAAGGTGATTCTGACTCCGTTTTTTCCAGGACTCCCCGGAGTACCCGCTGTCCCTGAGCTGCCAATGGGGAATGGGATTTTGGGGGAATTTTGGGGGATTTTGAAGGGATTCTGACTCCGTTTTTCCCAGGACTCCCCGGAGTACCCGCTGTCCCTGAGCTGCCAATGGGGAAGGGGATTTTGAAGGGATTTTGAAGGGATTCTGACTCATTTTTTCCCAGGACTCCCCGGAGTACCCGCTGTCCCTGAGCTGCCAATGGGGAATGGGATTTTGAGGGGATTTTGAGGGGATTTGGGGGATTTTGACTCGTTTTTTCCCAGGAGTCCCCAGAGTACCCGCTGTCCCTGAGCTCGCGGCCCTGGCGCCGGTTCCGGGCGGGGTTCTCGGAGCTGGTGGCCGGGGTGGTGCGGAGGGGCCGGTACGGCGTGGTGTACGACGGCTTCCTCATGGACTCCTGGATCTCCTTCCTCACCGGGCTGTCCGACTCGCAGGTGCGCGCCTTCCGCCACACCAGCACCCTGGCAGGTACCGGGGGTTCCTTCCACAGGGGAATAACAGCCTGGGGACCCCTTTTTGCCTCATCCCAGTCTTCTTTTTGCCTGTTTTGTGCCGCGTTTCCCTCAGAATCTTCTTTTTTTGGCTGTCTGAATTCTGTTTTCTTCTGATTTTTTTCTCACTCTGCAGTTGTTTTTTCTCGTTTCTTTCTCGTTTTCCGTCAGAATTCTCTGTTTTCTTGCATCCCAATTCCTTTTGCCCTCCGTTTTTTCTCATTTTAGGCTTGGTCTTTGTTGTTTCTTTCTGGTTTTCCTTCAGAATCTTTCATTTCTTTCCATCCCAATCCCGTTTCCCCCATTTTCCCCATCCCACCGCTTTTTCACCCCTTTTTTTGCCAGTTTTTCCTCCGGATCTTACATTTTCTCAGTCCCAATCCTGATTTCCATCCATTTCGCCTCATGTCACTGTTTATTACCCACATTTTTCACCACTTTCCTCTCAGGATTCTCTGTTTTTTCCAACCTGAATCCCCTTTCCCGCGATTTTCTCCCATCCCTCCCTTTTCCCCCCATATTTTCCCTTAGGATCTTCTATTTCCTCAATCCCAATCCTATTTTCCCCCCCCTTTCCTGTCATTCCACCTGTTTTTCCCCCCGTTTTCCACGGATTTCCCCTCAGGATCCTCCATTTTCTGCCGCCCGAGTTCCGTTTCCCGCCATTTTCCCCCATCCCTCCCTCACAACCCCGATTTTTCCCCCCCCTCCCACCCCATTTTCTCTGGGTTTTCCTCCATCCCACCCCATTTTCTCTGGGTTTTCCTCCATCCCACCCGTTTCTCCCGTTATCCCCCTCCCACCCCATATTCTCTGGGTTTCTCCATCCACCGTTTCTTCCCGTTATCCCCCTCCCACCCCATTTTCTCTGGGTTTTCCTCCATCCCACCCCATTTTCTCTGGGTTTTCCTCCATCCCGCCCCGTTTTCTGGGTTTCCTCCATCCCACCCCATTTTTCTGGGTTTTCCTCCTCCCACCCCATTTTCTCTGGGTTTTCTCCATCCCACCCCATTTTCTCTGGGTTTTCCTCCATCCCGCCCCGTTTTCTCCCGGTTTCCCCGTCCCACGCCGCTCTCGCCCCGTTTCGGGGCCGTGTTCCCGGGTGGTGGCAGCGCTGAAGGCGATGACGGCGCTGGTGGAGGTGGCCCTGGACGTGCACAGCCAGCAGGAGAACACGCAGAGGCAGCTGGAGGCCGAGAGGGGGAAGGAGCTGGGCCGGAGGGGCACGGAGAAGATGGAGGCGCTGCTGGGGAAGCGCCGGGAGGTGAGGATGGGGGGCCTGGGAGGGGGCCTGGGGGCTCCGGGGCGGCCCCGAATCCCTCGGGATCGCCTTCCCACAGCTCCTGGAGCAGCAGGAGGAGATCGAGGTGCTGATGAACGTCGTGTTCAAGGGCGTGTTCGTGCACCGCTACAGGTGGGGGCACGGGAGGGGGAAGCGGAGGGGTTTGGGGAGGGATGGGGGAAAGGGGGAAAATGGAGGGGTTTGGGGTCGGGATGGGGGGAAACGGAGGGTTTAGGGGTCGGGATGGGGAAAGGGGGAAAATGGAAGGGTTTGGGGTCAGGATGGGGGAAAGGGAGGGGAAATGGAAGGGTTTGGGATTGGGATGGGGGAAAGGGGGAAAAAAGGGAGGAGTTTGAGGGCAGGGTGGGGAAAAAAACAGGAGAAAATGGAGTTGGGAAGGAGGAAAATGGGGTTGGGATGGGGGCAGACGTGGGTCCCGTGGGAATTCCCACGTGATCCCGGGAATGCCGTGGGGTTTAGGGACGTGGTGCCCGAAATCCGGGCCCTGTGCATGGAGGAGCTGGGAAAGTGGATGAGCAGATTCCCGGGATCGTTCCTGACCGACAGTTACCTCAAGTACATCGGCTGGACCCTGCACGACAAGGTGGGAGTGGGGAAAACAGGGGGAAATGGGGTGGGAATGGGGGAAAATGGGATGGGAGTGGGGAAAATTGGGGGAAATGGGGTGGGAGTGGGAAAATGGGGTGGAATTGGGGAAAATTGGGTGGGATTGGGGAAAATGGGGGAAAATGGGGTGGGAGTGGGGAAAGTAGGGTGGGAATGGGGAAAATGGGGATGGGAATGGGGAAAATGGGGAAAATGGGGTGGGAGTGGGGAAAGTGGGGTGGGAGTGGGAAACGTGGGAAAATGGGTGGGATTGGGGAAAATGGGGTGGGAATGGGAAAATTGGGGAAGTGGGGTGGATGGGAAAATGGGGGAAATGAGGTAGGAATGGGAAAATGGGGTGGGATTGGGAAAATGAGGGAAGTGGGGTGGGATTGGGGAAAATGGGGGGGGAATGGTGAAAATGGGGGTGAGAGTGGGGAAAATGGGGAGAAAATGGGGGAAACGGGGTGGGATGAGGAAAAGGAGGGTCCTGGGGGTGGGGAGGCTCCCCAGAATTCCCCAGTGCCCCTTTCCCAGCAAGGGGAGGTTCGGCTCCAGTGCGTGAAGGCGCTCCAGGGAATTTACGGGAACCCAGACGTGGCCCCGCAGCTGGAATTGTTCACTGGGAGGTTCAAGGTGAGGGGAAGGGGTTGGGATGGGGGAAAACGAGGGAAAACGAGGCTGGGGGGGATTGGGGTGTCCCCAAATCGTCCCCCTGTGTCCGTGGCAGCCCCGAATCGTGGCCATGGCCCAGGACAAGGAGCCCGAGGTGGCCCTGGAGGTGGTGAAGCTCCAGACACTCCTCGTCCTGTGAGTTTTGGGGGGTCCCAGGAGGGGTTTGGGGGTCCCAGGAGAGATTTGGGGGATCCTGGTGGGTCCAAGGAAGGATTTGGGGGGGTCCTGGGAGGGATTTTGGGAGCAGGAAGGGGGAAAATGGGAATGGGAGGGATCAGGAATGGGGGGTCAGGGTCCCTCCCCAATCCCGAATTCCCAGAGATTTGGAGGAGTTCCTGGTGGAAGAGGACGGGGGGGGGGGGAGCAGGAATTTGGGAGCAGGAATGGGAAAGAGCAGGGACTGGAGAGCAGGAATGGGTGGAATGGGAGTGGGAAAGGTGGGAATTGGGCTGCAGGCTGTGTCCCCCCTCCCCAAATGGCAGGAACGTGGAGGATTCCCTGTCGGAGGAGGATTGCCAGGGCATTTACCCCCTGGTGTTCGTGGCCAACCGCGCCCTGGCCTCAGCTGCCGGGACCTTCCTGTTCCACAGGTGCATTCCCGGGAATTCCCGTCCCTTCTGCCGTCCTTCCCGACCCCAGGGACACCCCAGAGCCTGGGAATTCCCACCCCAAACCCTTGGGATTCCCACCCCCGGGAACATCCCATTTCCCTTCCCTGCATTCCTGACCCCAGGGATGCTCCAAATCCTTTGAATTCCCCCCCCAAATCCTCAGAATTCCCACCCCAAACCCCCCAATTCCCATTCCCGTTCCACCCGTGGCTTCCCAGGAATATCCCACCCCCCTGTCCCCCCCATTCCTGACCCCTGAAGTGCTCCAAAATCTTGGGAATTCTCCCCCCCCAACCCCCCACCCCAGCCCTCAGGGAAAACATCTGGAGCCGGGGGTGGCTCCTGCCGGGAATGGGCCCGGAATGAGCTGGGAATTGGCCTTGGAATTGGCCTTGGAATGAGCTGCGGGAGCCTCCCGGCAGCTGGAATTGCGTCAGCCCTGGCCTGGCCTTGTCTGTCCCTGTCCTGTCCCTGTCCTGTCCCTGTCCCTTCCCTGACCCATCCCTGGCCCTTCCCTGACCCATCCCTGGCCCTTCCCTGGCCCATCCATGGCCCTTCCCACTCTCCTGGGAGTTGGGGGTGGGGAGGACAAGCTGTTTTGTCCCGATTTTCCCGGAACCCCACCCCTTTCTTCCCAATCCCACCCTGTTTTCCCCTTTTTCCCAATCCCACCCTGCTTTCTCCCGTTTTTCCCAATCCCACCCTGTTTTCTCCCCTTTTTCCCAATCCCACCCTGCTTTCTCCTTTTTCCCAATCCCACCCTGCTTTCTCCCATTTTTCCCAATCCCACTTTGTTTTCCCCCTTCTTTTCTGAATCCCACTCCCTTTTTTCCCACCCCTTTTTTCCCAATCCCACTTTTCCCCCTCTGTTTTTCCCATTCCCAGCTTCTGTTTTTTGCTGACTTCCTCTCATTTCTCCTTCAACTGCAGAATTCCCACTTTTCCCAATCCCACCCCATTTCTCCCCTTTTTCTCCGTTCCAATTCCATTTTTCCAGTTTTCCCCCATCCCATTCTCAAAATCCTCAGTTTCCCTCCCTTCCAGCCCCAGAATTCCCCCTTTTCCCCATTCCAGCCCCGTTTTCTCCCATTTTCCCCTCATTTTCCCTCATCCCAACCCCTTTTTTCTCGTTTCATCTCTTTTTTTGTCACTTTTTCCAGGCTCCTGGACCCCCAAAAACACGGGAATGGGAATGGGGACAACCGGACGTTCTTCAGGCGCCTCGTCACCTTCTTCCTGGACACCGAGGTGGGGGGGCAATTTTGGGAAGATGTTTTGGGGGGATTTTGGAAGGATTTGGGGGGCTTAGTTTGGGATTTTTGGGTTTTGGGATTTTGGGGTCATTTTTGGGGATCTAGGGGGTTTTGGGGGGGTTTTGGGAGGGTTCTGCAGGTGTTTTGGGGTCCCTGAGTGTCCCTGTCCCATTCCAGCTCCACAACCACGCCGTGTACCTCGTGGACAGCCTGGGGGGGGATTTGGGGTGTCCTGAGGGTGTTTTTGGGGTCCTTGAGTGTCCCTGTCCCATTCCCAGCTCCATGACCACGCCACCTACCTGGTGGACAGCCTGGGGGGGTTTGAGGGATGTTTTGGGGTCCTTGAGTGTCCCTCTCCCATTCCCAGTTCCATGAGCACGCCATGTACCTGGTGGACAGCCTGGGGGGGTTTTGGGGGATGTTTTGGGGTGTCCTGAGGGTGTTTTTGGGGTCCCTGTCCCGTTGCAGCTCCACGAGCACGCCGCCTACCTCGTGGACAGCCTGTGGGACTGTGCCGGGCCTCGGCTGCGCGACTGGGACACGGCCACGGGGCTGCTGCTGGAGCACAGCCCTGGTCAGCTACTGGGGGGACTGGGGGGCACTGGGAGGGCACTGGGAGGCACTGGGGGGCACTGGGAGATGCTGGGATGGCACTGGGACCATGAGAGCCCCACTGGGTTTTATTGGGATGGGTTTTCCTGCTCAGTACTGGGATGTGCTGGTGCATAGCGGTCCGTACCGCTCTGTACTGGCCCATACTGGTTTATACTGGTGCACAGTGATCTGTATCAGCCCGTACTGGTGTGTACTGGTCCGAACTGGTTTGGTGTCCCGTTGCAGCCCTGCAGGACCGGGAGGAGAAGGCGCTGGTGGAAGTGGTGGCCTGCAGTGCCCTGCAGGTGGCCCAGGGCCACCCCCCCGTGGGCCGCGCCGGCCCCCGCAAGGTACCGGGAACGCCGGGAAATCCGGGAATTCCGGGAATGCCGGGGGGTGGCAGTGCCAGGGGAGGGATAATTTGGGGTCCTGACGTCCTGGGTGCCCCTCCAAGGTGAGCTCCAAGGAGAGGAAGGAGCAGGAGGAGGAGAAGTCGCGGCTGAGCCGGTGCCTGATCCCGGTGCTGCCCCAGCTCCTGGAGAAGGTGGGGCCATGGGGGGGACTGGGGGAGGTTTGGGGTTTGAGGTGGAGGGGACTGGGGATACTGGGGACATGGGGGATTTCTGGGATACTGGGGAAATGGGGAATGTTTGGGATGTTTGGGATAGCGGGGAACATTTGGGATGTTTGGGATATTGGGTTGGTTTGGGGACTTTGGGGATATTTGGGGCAGTTTGGGGGGTTGTGGCCATTTGGGACTGGGGGATTTGGGATTTGGGGTCCCTGTTTGTCCCCTCCAGTTCTCGGCCGACGCCGACCCCTGCGGCCTCTCTGCTGACGGTGCTGCGGCACCTGGAGCTGGGGATGTTCCACACCGGCAGGATGGAGAAGGTGGGGCCCCCAGTCCAGCCCAGTAACCCCCCAGTCTAGCCCAGTAACGTTCCAGTGCTCCCAGTGCCATCCCAGTCCCTGCGGCACCTGGAGCTGGGGATGTTCCACACCGGCAGGATGGAGAAGGTGGGGCTCCCAGTCCAGCCCAGTTCAACCCAGTCCGTCCCAGTCTAGCCCAGTGCCTCCCAGTCCCTCCCAGTCCATCCCAGTTCCTCCCAGTCCATCCCAGTCCATCCCTGTCCCCCAGGCGCTGCTCCAGGTGCTGGTGCAGGTGCAGGAGGTGTTTGGGAAGCACCGGCAACGCCGGGTCCTGGACATCCAGTGCCCTCCCAGTGTCTCCCACTGCTCTCCCAGTGCTCTTCCAGTGCCTCCCAGTGCTCTCTCAGTGCCCTCCCAGTCCATCCCAGTCCATCCCAGTCCATCCCAGTCCATCCCTGTCCCCCAGGCGCTGCTCCAGGCTCTGGTGCAGGTGCAGGAGGTGTTTGGGAAGCACCGGCAGCGCTGGGTGCTGGACATCCCAGTGCCTCCCAGTGCCTCCCAGTCCATCCCAGTGCCTCCCAGTGCTCTCCCAGTGCTCTCCCAGTGCCTCCCAGTCCATCCCAGTGCATCCCTGTCCCCCAGGCGCTGGTGCAGGTGCTGGTGCAGGTGCAGGAGGTGTTTGGGAAGCACCGGCAGCGCTGGGTGCTGGACATCCCAGTGCCCTCCCAGTGCCTCCCAGTGCCTCCCAGTCCATCCCACTGCCCTCCCAGTGCCTCCCAGTCCATCCCAGTCCATCCCAGTGCATCCCTGTCCCCCAGGCTCTGGTGCAGGTGCTGGTGCAGGTGCAGGAGGTGTTTGGGAAGCACCGGCAGCGCCGGGTCCTGGACATCCCAGTGCCTCCCAATGCCTCCCAGTGCCTCCCAGTCCATCCCAGTGCCTCCCAGTGCCTCCCAGTCCCTCCCAGTCCATCCCAGTGCATCCCTGTCCCCCAGGCTCTGGTGCAGGTGCTGGTGCAGGTGCAGGAGGTGTTTGGGAAGCACCGGCAGCGCCGGGTCCTGGACTCGGCCTCGCGGGCCCTGCACGCCCTGTGTGACCCCCAGGTGCCCCTGCACGGCCGCGCCCGCGTCACCAGGGGCCTCCTCGGGGACAGCCTGGGGGACAGGTGCCACCTGCAGGTCACAGAGGTGCTCCAGGTACGGATGGGGGCACTGGGATGGACTGGGATAGACTGGGGTATACTGGGGTATACTGGGATAGACTGGGGTATACTGGGATAGACTGGGGTATACTGGGGTATGGGCTGGGAATGAGGGGGGGACCTGGGGACACCTTGGGGACACCCTCGGGGACAGCCTGGGGGACAGCCTGGGGGACAGGTGCCACCTGCAGGTCACAGAGGTGCTCCAGGTGAGCGTGGGGGCACTGGGGTGGACTGGGATAGACTGGGGTATGTGGGGATGTAATGGGAGAGGTGGGATACAGGGACAAGGATATGGACTGGGAATGAGGGGGGCACATGGGGACAGCCTGGGGGACAGCCTGGGGGACAGCCTGGGGGACAGGTGCCACCTGCAGGTCACAGAGGTGCTCCAGGTACCGTGGGGTCCCTGGGATGTACTGGGATAGACTGGGGTATACTGGGATATGCTGGGATATGGGCTGGGAATGAGGGAGGGGCATGGGGCTTGGGGACACCTCAGGAACACCTCAGGGACAGCCTGGGGGACACCCTGGGGGACAGGTGCCACCTGCAGGTCACAGAGGTGCTCCAGGTACGGATGGGGGCACTGGGATGGACTGGGATAGACTGGGGTATACTGGGGTATGGGCTGGGAATGAGGGGGGCACATGGGGACACCTTGGGGACACCCTGGGGGACAAGTGGCACCTGCAGGTCACAGAGGTGCTCCAGGTGAGCGTGGGAATGCTGGGATGGACTGGGGTATACTGGGATAGACTGGGATATGGGCTGGGAATGAGGGGGGCACATGGGGACACCTTGGGGACACCTCGGGGACAGCCTGGGGGACAGACTGGGGGACAGGTGCCACCTGCAGGTCACAGAGGTGCTCCAGGTACACATGGGGGTGCTGGGATATACTGGGATAGACTGGGGTATACTGGGATAGATGGGGTATACTGGGATATGGGCTGGGAATGAGGGGGGGACATGGGGACACTGTAGGGGACACCTGGGGGACAGCCTGGGGGACAGGTGCCACCTGCAGGTCACAGAGGTGCTCCAGGTACACGTGGGGTCCCTGGGATGTACTGGGATAGACTGGGGTATACTGGGATATGCTGGGATATGGGCTGGGAATGAGGGGGGCACATGGGGACACCTTGGGGACACCTCAGGAACAGTCTGGGGGACAGCCTGGGGGACACCCTGGGGGACAGGTGGCACCTGCAGGTCACAGAGGTGCTCCAGGTGGGAATGGGGGCACTGGGATATACTGGGGTGTACTGGGATATGGGCTGGGAATGAGGGGGGGGCATAGGAACACCTCGGGGACACCTCGGGGACACCTCAGGAACAGTCTGGGGGACAGCCTGGGGGACAGGTGGCACCTGCAGGCCACAGAGGTGCTCCAGGTGGGGATGGGAAGGGCTGGGAATGTTGGGATCCGGGCTGGGAACGTTGGGAATGTCGGGAATGTCCCCCCCCAGGCGGAGGCCCCCGACGAGGAGGATCTTTACGGGCTGGCCACCACCCTGAGGAGGATCTCGGCCCTCTTCAAGTGAGGGGGACACGGGGACAGCTGGGGGGGCTTGGGGGGATTGGAGGGGATTGGGGATATTGGGGACGTTTGGGGGGGTTTGGGACATTGGGAACGGGGGGACGTCGGTGCCCCCAAATCCCCCCAATGTCCCCAAATCCCCCCAACGTCCCCTGCTGTCCCCAACGTCCCCTGCTGTCCCCAACGTCCCCAGTGGGCACGACCTGACCCCCTGGAAGCTCTTTGGTCCCTGTTCCCGCCTGCTCCGGCACGCCGTGGACACGGGAGAGCTGCCCCCGCAGGTGGGACCCTGGGGGACGGATGGGACCCTTGGGGACCCTGCTGGGACCCTTGGGGGGCAGATGGGACCCTTGGGGACATTACTGGGACCCTTGGGGATGGATGGGACCCCTGGGGGACGGATGGGACCCTTGGGGACCCTGCTGGGGCCCTGGGGGGCGGATGGGACCCTTGGGGGACGGATGGGACCCTTGGGGATGGATGGGACCCTTGGGGACCCTGCTGGGACCCTTGGGGATGGATGGGACCCTTGGGGACCCTGCTGGGACCCTTGGGGACCCTGCTGGGACCCTTGGGGGCGGATGGGACCCTTGGGGACCCTGCTGGGACCCTTGGGGGACACTGCTGGGACCCTGGGGGATGGATGGGACCCTTGGGGACCCTGCTGGGACCCTTGGGGACCCTGCTGGGACCCTTGGGGATGGATGGGACCCTTGGGGACACTGCTGGGACCCTGGGGACCCTGCTGGGACCCTGGGGGATGGATGGGACCCTTGGGGACCCTGCTGGGACCCTTGGGGACCCTGCTGGGACCCTGGGGGACAGATGGGACCCTTGGGGACCCTGCTGGGACCCTGGGGACCCTGCTGGGGCCGCAGTGGGGCAGCTGCTGTGCCCGGGCTGTCCCCAGGTGACGGTGCCCGCCCTGTCCTGCCTGTTCTTCCACGTGCTGTGGGAGCTGTCGCGCCTGCCCGGCCCCGACGTCCCCCAGGTCAGCCCCTGCCCCCACAGGGGGGATCCAGAACCTTCTGCCGCTCTCCAAACCCTTCCAGAACCTTCCCCTGCTTTCGAAGCCCTTCTCCCACCCAATTCCCCATTCCCAGGCCCCACAGATCCTCCCCAAATGCCCCCAAATCCTCCCAAAATCCCCCAAATCCCCCCAGATCCTCCCAAAATCCCTCAAATCCCCCCAAATCCCCCCAGATCCTCCCCAAATGCCCCCAAATCCTCCCAAATTCCTCAATCCCCAGATCCTCCCAAATGCCCTAAATCCTCCCCAAATGCCCCAAATCCTCCCCCAAATGCCCCCAGATCCTCCCCAAATGCCCCCAAATCCTCCCAAAATCCCCCAAATCCCCCCAGATCCTCCCAAATGCCCCCAAATCCTCCCAAATTCCCTCCAATCCCCCCAATCCCCCGTTCCAGGCTGAGCTGCAGAGTCTCCGCTCCAAGGCCCTGTCCCTGCTGTCCCTGTGCCAGAGCTGCCTCAGCGACCCCAGCCATGCCCTGCCAGGAGCAGGTGGGGGATTTGGAGGGGATTTGGGGGGACTAGGGGGCTTAGGAGTCCTAGTGGGGTTTGGTCTGAGTTGGATCCCAATCCCATTCCCATCCTGTTTCCAGGTGTTTGTGGTGCTGAGTGACCTGCTGGTGGTGCTGGGGGGGGATTTTAGGGTGGGGTTTTTTTGGGATTTCTGGGCAGTTTTGAGGTTTTTGGGGCTGTGCAGTTGGGATTTGTGTTCCCATCCCATCCCAATCCCATCCTAATCCTGTTCCCAGGCGTTCGTGGTGCTGAGTGACCTGCTGGTGGTGCTGGGGGGGGTGGATTTGGGTGTTTTGGGTTGTTTTTTTGTGGGATTTCTGGGCAGTTTTGAGGTTTTTGGGGCTGTGCAGCTGGGATTTGTGTTCCCATCCCATCCCAATCCCATCCCAATCCCATCCCAATCCCATCCCCAGGCGTTCATGGTGCTGAGTGACCTGCTGGTGGTGCTGGGGGGGGTGGATTGGGGTGTTTTGGGTTGACTTTTTGTGGGATTTTTGGGCAGTTTTGAGGTTTTTGGGGCTGTGCAGTTGGGATTTGTGTTCTCATCCCATCCCAATCCCGTCCCAATCCCGTCCCCAGGCGTTCGTGGTGCTGAGTGACCTGCTGGTGGTGCTGGGGGTGTTTTGGGTTGATTTTTTGTGGGATTTTTGGGCAGTTTTGAGGTTTTTGGGGCTGTGCAGCTGGGATTTGTGTTCCCATCCCATCCCATCCCATCCCCAGGCGTTCGTGGTGCTGAGTGACCTGCTGGGGGTGCTGGGGGGGGGTGTGGATTGGGGTGTTTTGGGTTGTTTTTTTGTGGGATTTCTGGGCAGTTTTGAGGTTTTTGGGGCTGTGCAGTTGGGATTTGTGTTCCCATCTCATCCCAATCCCATCCCCATCCCGTCCCCAGGCGTTTGTGGTGCTGAGTGACCTGCTGGTGGTGCTGGGGGGGGATTTTAGGGTGTTTTTTTGTGGGGTTTCTGGGCAGTTCTGAGGTTTTTGGGGCTGTGCAGTTGGGATTTGTGTTCCCATCCCATCCCAATCCCATCCCCATCCCATTCCCAGGCGTTCGTGGTGCTGAGTGACCTGCTGGTGGTGCTGGGGGGGGGTGTGGGGTGGGGTGTTTTGGGTTGGTTTTTTGTGGGATTTCTGGGCAGTTTTGAGGTTTTTGGGGCTGTGCAGTTGGGATTTGTGTTCCCATCCCATCCCAATCCCATCCCAATCCCATCCCAATCCCATCCCCATCCCATTCCCAGGCGTTCGTGGTGCTGAGTGACCTGCTGGTGGTGCTGGGCCCGCGCCTGCCGCGGGTGGGGGGGCCGTGGCTGGAGCGCCTGGTGCTGCCGGTGGATCCGGGGCTGCATTCCCAGCTCGCCGCCGTGCTCATGGATCGCGTCTTCCAGCACCCCCCGGAGCCCCCCCGGCCCCGGGACACGGGTGGGTCCAGCCCGGGATCCCTCATTCCATGGTCCCTGGATCCCACAGTTCTGGGATCCCTCATTCCATGGTCCCTGGATCCCACAGTTCTGGGATCCCTCATTCCATGGTCCCTGGATCCCACAGTTCTGGGATCCCTCATTCCATGGTCCCTGGATCCCATCCCAGGATCCCTCATTCCATCACTCCTTGGATCCCACAGTTCTGGGATCCCTCATTCCATCAGTCCTTGGATCCCATCCCAGGATCCCTCATTCCATGGTCCCTGGATCCCACAGTTCTGGGATCCCTCATTCCATCGCTCCCTGGATCCCACAGTTCTGGGATCCCTCATTCCATTGAGCCCTGGATCCCACAGTTCTGGGATCCCTCATTCCATGGTCCCTGATGGATCCCACAGTTCTGGGATCCCTCATTCCATGGTCCCTGGATCCCACAGTTCTGGGATCCCTCATTCCCTCAGTCCTTGGATCCCACAGTTCTGGGATCCCTCATTCCATCAGTCCTTGGATCCCACAGTTCTGGGATCCCTCATTCCATCAGTCCTTGGATCCCATCCCAGGATCCCTCATTCCATGGTCCCTGATGGATCCCATGATTCCAGGATCCCTCATTCCATGGTCCCTGATGGATCCCATGATACCAGGATCCCTCATTCCATCAGTCCCTGATGAGTCCCACAATTCCAGGATTCCCCCATCCCTGACCCCACCATTCCCAGAGGTCGCTCCGGACGCTCCCCAAGGTCCTTCCCCACCTTCCTTATCCCAGGATTCCGTGATCCCATCGCCCCACCACCCCTGGATCCCTCCATCCCCGGATCCCTCCCTCCTGAGATTCCTCCATCCCGAGATTCCCTCATCCCACATTCCCAGAGGTTCAGGTCTCCATTCCCAGGGGTGGAACTCGGTGCTCCCCGGGGTCCTTCCCCACCTTCCCTATCCCGGGACTCTGTGACCCCACCACCCCCGACTCCCACGACCCCAGAGCCCGGAATTCCCGGAATTCCCTGATTCCCTGCTCTCCTGTGTGCAGAGGAGGCCGAGGCCGGGCTGGGGGAGCTGCAGCAGCGCCGGCGGCTCCTGGCGGGGTTCTGTAAACTGGTGATCCACGAGGGGCTGGAGATCCGGGCAGCATCGGATCTGTTCAAACACTACGGAAAGGTTTGGGAATAACAGCAATTCCAGGGAATCTGGGGGGTCTGGAACATTCCAGGGGTTCTGTAAACTGGTGATCCACGAGGGGCTGGAGATCCGGGCAGCATCGGATCTGTTCAAACACTACGGAAAGGTTTGGGAATAACAGGGAATCTGGGGGGTCTGGGGGGTCTGGAACATTCCAGGGATTCTAGGGGTTCCAGGGGTTCTGTAAACTGGTGATCCACGAGGGGCTGGAGATCCGGGCGGCCTCGGACCTGTTCAAACACTACAGAAAGGTTTGGGAATAACAGGGAATCCAGGGAATCTGGGACATTCCAGGGGTTCCAGGGAATCTGGGGGCATTCCAGGGGTTCTGTAAACTGGTGATCCACGAGGGGCTGGAGATCCGGGCGGCCTCGGACCTGTTCGAACACTACGGAAAGGTTTGGGATTGCCAGGAATTCCAGGGGTTCCAGGGATTCCAGGGGTTTCCAGGGGGGCTCCAGGGAACCTCCAGGGCTTTTCCAAAGGGGCTCCGGGGGGGTTTCCCGAAGGTTCCGGGGGTCTCCAGGGGGGTTTCCGGGGTGTTCCAGAAGGTTCCTCCTGTCCCTGAGGGCTCCAGGGGGCTCTCCAGGGATCTTTGGTGCCCTCCCATTCCCAGTTCCACGGGGATTTCGGGGACATCCTGAAGGAGACGCTGCGCTGGACGCGGGACATGGATCGCATGGAATGGGCCCGGACCCTCCTGCTCAGCCTCCAGCAGGTCCGGGGGGCTCCAGGAGATCCTTGGATCATCCAGAGGGTCTGGGGGGCTCCAGGAGATCCCTTGGATCATCCTGGGGGGCTCCAGGAGATCCCTTGGATCATCCAGAGGGTCTGGGGGGCTCCAGGAGATCCTTGGATCATCCAGAGGGGCTGGGGGGGCTCCAGGAGATCCTTGGATCATCCAGAGGGGCCTGGGGGGGCTCCAGGAGATCCTTGGATCATCCACAGGGGCCTGGGGGGCTCCAGGAGATCCTTGGATCATCCAGACGGGCCTGGGGGGGCTCCAGGAGATCCTTGGATCATCCAGAGGGGCCTGGGGGGCTCCAGGAGATCCTTGGATCATCCAGAGGGTCCTGGGGGGCTCCAGGAGATCCTTGGATCATCCAAGGGGCCTGGGGGGGCTCCAGGAGATCCTTGGATCATCCAGAGGGTCTGGGGGGGCTCCAGGAGGTTTTTGGGGGGCTCCAGGAAATCCCTTGGATCATCCAGAGGGGCCTGGGGGGCTCCAGGAGGTTTTGGGGATCTCCAGGGGGTTTTCCAGGTGGTTTTTGGGGTCTCCAGGAGATCCCTTGGGTTATCCCGGTATTCCCGGAGGTCCCCCCGACCCCCTCCCCCCCTTTTCCAGCTGCTGACGGAGCTGCTGCTCCAGCAGGGCCCCCAGATCCGGGGGCTCCCGGAATTCCAGGAGATCCGGGACCTGGCCCGGCGCTTCTCCCTCTTCTTCAGCCTCCACCGGCTGCGCAACCGCCCGGCCCTGCTGGGCCTGCACAGGTCTGGGAATGCCGGGAATTCCGGGGAATTCTGGGAATTCTGGGCTGGGGGGAGCCGAGGGGGGTCCTTAAACAAAAAAATCCCACAGGAATTGGGGGGGAAAACGGGATTGGGGGGGTGAACGAGGAGGGAAAAGAGCTGAGGGGCCTGCCCTCGGAAATCCGGGAATTGGGGGATTTGGGGGGATCCTGGGGGGATATTTGGGGTTCTTTTTGGGGGTCTCGGGGTGGTTCGGGGTGGGTTGGGGGTTCTCAGGGAGTTTTGGGGATCTTTGGGGTTGTTTTCCGGTGGTGGTGGGGATTTTGGGGTGGTTTTGGGGGATTGTGGGTGTCCCTGGGGTGGTTTTGGGGGATTTTGGGTGTCCCTGGGGTGGTTTTGGGGATTGTGGGTGTCCCTGGGGTGGTTTTGGGGGTTTTGGGTGTCCTTGGGGTGGTTTTGGGGGATTCTGGGGTGGTTTTGGGGTGGTTTTGGGGGTTTTGGGTGGTTTTGGGGTGGTTTTGGGGTGGTTTTGGGGGATTGTGGGTGTTGGGGTGGTTTTGGGGGATTTTGGGGTGGTTTGGGGTGTCCTTGGGTGTTTTTGGGGTGGTTTGGGGTGTTTTTGGGGTGGTTTGGGGCGGTTTTGGGGTGTGACCCCCCTGTCCCCTCAGGGAGGGGATCCAGTTTGCCTTCCAGGAGCCCCCAGACCCCGAGGTTGGGGAGGGGGTGCCCCTGAACTTGCCCTTCCTGGAGGTGCTGAGCGAGTTCTCCCCGAGGCTGCTGCGCCCCGACAAGGCCCTGCTGTGAGGGGATGGGGGCTTTGGGGGGCTTGGGGGGCTTTGGGGGGCTCTTGGGGGGCTTTGGGGGCTTTGGGGGGCTTTGGGGGGCTTTGGGGCCTTTCCTGGGGTCTCCTTTGGGATCTTTTGGGTTCTTTTTCCAGGATTATTTTAGGACCTTTTGGGGCCTCCTTTGGCAAAGTTTTGGGGTGTTTTTCAGGATCTTTTCAGGGTCTCTTTTGGGATCTCTTGGGGTCTGTTTTGGGGTCTCAGGACGCTGTTTTTGGGGTTGTGTTTGGGTTGAGTTTTGGGGTGAGTTTTGGAGTGAATTTTGGGGGGTGTTTTGGAGTGAGTTTTGGGGTGTGTTTTGGGGTGTTTTGGGGTGAGTTTTGGGCTGTGTTTTGTGATGAGTTTTGGGATGAATTTTGGGGTGTTTTGGGATGAATTTTGGGGTGTGTTTTGGGGTGTTCTGGGGTGAGTTTTGGGGTGAGTTTTGGGATGAGTTTTGGGATGAATTTTGGGGTGTTTTGGGATGAGTTTTGGGTTGTGTTTTGGGGTGAGTTTTGGGATGAGTTTTGGGGTGTTTTGGGGGGTGTTTTGGGATGAATTTTGGGATGTTTTGGGGTGAGTTTTGGGGTGTTTTGGGGTGAATTTTGGGGTGAGTTTTGGGGTGAGTTTTGGGATGAATTTTGGGGTGTTTTAGGGTGTGTTTTGGGGTGAGTTTTGGGTTGAGTTTTAGAGTGAGTTTTGGGATGAATTTTGGGGTGTTTTGGGGTGAGTTTTGGGAAGAATTTTGGGGTGTTCTGGGGTGTGTTTTGGGGTGAGTTTTGGGGTGTTTTGGGATGAATTTTTGTGTGTTTTGGGGTTTGTTTTGGGGTCTCAGGACACTCTATTTTTGGGCTCCAGGCTGTCCTTCGTGGAGCGGACGCTGCAGGAGCGGGGGGGGCTCCCCCCGGGGGTGTCCCCGTGGCCCCCCCTCGTCACCTACCGGCAATCCCTGAGCCCCCAGGGCGGGGGGGAAACCCCCCCTGAGCCCCCCCGGGCCAAGAGACCCCGCCCCAGGGGTCAGCACCCCAAATTTGGGGGGAATGGGGGGGTTTGGGGGGTCCTGGGTGGAGGGAGAGCCCCAAATTGGGGGGTTTGGGGTGGATATTTGGGGTCCTGGGGGTCGAGGGGGCCCCAATTTGGGGGTTCCTCCAAATTGGGGCCCCCTCGACTCCCAGGACTCCCCAGGATTTTGGGGGTCTTGGGGTTGTTTTTGGGGTCCTTCTGAGCCCCCAGACTCATCTTTAGGGTGTCCCCCAGAAACGCCCTCAGAGCCCCCCAGTTCCAGCCCGTGGCCCCAGGAGCCCCCTCACCTCCACTGCCCTCAGGGGGCCCCCCAAAATCAGCCGGGACCGCCCCCAAACCCCAGGTGAGAGAGACTCCCCAAAATACTCCCCCCAAATAAACCCCCCACAAAATGAGGGAGACCTCCCAAAATGAGGGGGACTCCCAAAGTGACCCCCCTCCCAGGAATTCCCCCTGCAGCAGCAGCTCCGTCCTGTCCCGAGGATCCCGGTGAGGGGGATTTGGGGGATTTTGGGTCTGGGGGTCCTGGGGGGAACTTGGGGGTTTTTGGGAGGGGAAGTTTTGGGTCCTGGGGGAGTGTTTGGGGTCTGGGGGCTTGGGGAGGATTTTGGGGGTGTTTTTGTGGGGGGATTTAAGGTGGGTGTTGGAGGGCTTGGAGTGATTCTGAGGGGGTCCCTGAATCTTTTTGGGGGGTCTCACAACCCCCCTCCCAAAAATCCCCCAAACAAAGCCTGAGCCTGATGGAGGGAGGAGGAGGAGGAAGAGGAGGAAGAGGAGGAGGAGCCCCCAGAATCCACCCAGGGTGAGCCCCTTCCCAAAAAATACTCCCCAGACCCCCTTCAAATTTTGGGATCCCGAATTTTGGACCCCCTGAGCTCTGTGACCCCCAGACCCCCAGAACCCCCGGGACCTTTTCGACGTCTCCGCCTTTGACCTCCAGGTGAGTTTTTGGGGGGCCCCCAAATTTTGGGGGTTGGGGAGAGCCTCCCCTCTGGGGCCTCTGAGGAAGGGACCCCAAAAAACAACCTTTTTTTTGCCCATTTTCTGCTGTTTTCACCCCAAAATTTGTGTCCCCCCCCCGTTTGAAACCACTTTTTGGGGCTCATTTTGGGGGGGCTTTGGGGGTCCCCCCAAATCTTGGGGGGTCTCCCCCCCCGTTTTTCTTCCAGGACTTCTGAGGACGGACCCACCAAAAAAACCCACCAGTTTTTTCCTGTTTTCTGCCGTTTTCACCCCAAAATTTGTCCCCCCTCTCCCCCCCCGTTTGATGCCGGTTAATGACGACATTTTGGGGTGAATTTGGGGGCGTTTTGGTGCTCCCCCCAAATTATTGAGGAGGGGGAGTCTCAGTGCCCCCCTCCCCCTCCAGGGCCTCTAAGGAAGGGCCCCTGGAAAAAACCACCAGTTTTTTTTCCTGTTTTCTGCTGTTTACACCCCAAAATTTGTGTTCCCCCCCACAGTTAATAAATTACAGCTTGAGTGGTTTTGGGGGGGAATTTGGGGATAAAGTTTCAGGGGTTTTTTGGGGGCTCCGTCTCCCAGATTTTGGGGGTCTCCCCTCCAGCCCCTCTGTTGAATAAACTCTAAAAACCCACCCCTGTTTTTGCTCTATTTATTCTCATTTTCACCCCAAAACTCATCTACTTTCAAGTTAATAAAGAATTGAGCATTTGGGGGGCAAATCTGGGGGGTTTTGGGGTCCCTCCCAGTATTTTGGGGGGTTCTCCCACCCCCTTCTGGGGAGATTTTGGGGGTGGAAATTGGGATCTTGGGGTGGGGAGGGGTCACAGCGACAGGTGCCCCAAAAATAAGCAGAAAAAGGGGTTTATTGGTAAAAACTATTATTATTATTATTATTACAAAACAAAGCTCTGAACAAAAACATTCGGGGGGGGGGGATTTTGGGGGACCCCCCCCAAACTGAAGTGACACAGGTGAGGGTGGGAGGGGTCACTGGGTGTATTTTGGGGTGGATTTGGGGTATTTTGGGGGTATTTTGGGGTGGATTTGGGGTATTTTGGGGTGGATTTGGGGTATTTTGGAGTGGTTTTGGGTTATTTTAGGGGTATTTTTGGGGTGGATTTGGGGTATTTTGGGGTCTGTCACACGAAGGTGACGGTGGTCCTGGCGGGGTTCACCTGCAGCACGTTGAGCTGCTCGTACTCCTGCAGGGCCTGCGTGACCTGGGCGGGGGTGAAGCCCCTCGTGCCCAGCAGGGCCAGGGCCTGGGGCAGCGACACCGAGCGGGCCCCGGGACCCCCCAGTTCCCTCAGCACCCCCAGGATCGCCTCCGACGGGCGCTGCGGCCTGGGGGGGGCACGGCGGGGTCAGGGGGGGGGCACCCCCACCTTGTCCCCTCCGCGTCACAAACATCCCCCAAATCCCCTCCCAGGGTGCCGAAAACCCACCAAGGTCACCCCTGTCCCCAGTCCCTCCAACGTCCCTTGAAGTCCAGTGTCCCAAAATCCCCTCAGATACCCCCAAATCCTTCTCAGTGTCCCCAAAATCCCCCCAAATCCTTCTCAGTGTCCCCAAAATCCCCTGAGAACCCCCCAAATCCTTCTCAGTGTCCCCAAAATCCCCCCCAATCCCTTCAGTGTCCCCCAAGTCCTCATTCCCCCCCCGGTGTCCCCACCTGTGCTGCTGGGTCCTGTCCCCCTGCAGGGACTCCCGGGCCGCCTCGAGCAGCCTCATGGCCTCACTCACGTCCTCCTTCTCCACCACGTCCCCCAAACGCAGCCGGGCCTGGGGGCACGGCGGGGTCAGCACCCGAAAACACCCCCAAAACCACCCCCAAAACCTCCCAAAACCCCCCCAAAACCTCCCAAAACCACCCCCAAAACCTCCTCAAAACCTCCCAAAAACCTCCCAAAACCAACCCCAAAACCTCCTCAAAAATTCCCAAAAACCTCCAGGCCCCAGGGCCATCCTCAAGACCGCCTGAATGCCCCCAAAGACCCATCAGAGATGACCCCCAGGGACATCATCAGGATGAGACCCAAGACCATCTGAGTCATTTAGGGCCATCCCAAAGACCCGACCCCAGGGTAT